AGAAAAAAAGAGCTAATTATGAGCAAAATTACTTGTTTTTTGTTTTTTTTTAACTTTTTATTGTGAATTGAGTGAAGGTTTATAGAGCAGATCATCAATTTTACATTTAACAAATCATACGCTTTGTGTCATTTCAGTGATTGCAACCTCTTCAATGTAACATTATCTATTCCATTTTCATTCCTCTTTCTTTTCTAACTCTTTTAAATGTTGTCAGCTAAAAACTGCCCTTTTGATCACAAATAGTTGACCGTTCTATGGTGTGAATACCTCACTAATGTTGTTATCCCCCCTATATACCTATCTGTTACTTGGTGGAAAATTGAGCAGTAGGGATGAGTCCAGTTCCAGAGGTAGCCAAAGCACGTAGTCTTAGATAGTCCACCAGTGTCTATCCAATCAGGAAGCCCGATCTTTCTTATAATGTTTGTTTCACATTTTCTCCCACTTTATCCGGGACCTTCTAATGTGATCCCTTTCAGAGCAGTTGATAGTGGTAGCCTGGTGCCATCTAGTTCTTCTGGTCTCAGGGTCATGGAGATTGATATTCACATGGTTCATAGCCCATTGGACTAATTGTTTTTAAGCATCACCAATTTTTATCACTTCTTTTATCCGGACGAGAGAGACCAGTAGGTGCACCTTAGCTGGATGATCACGAGCTCTTTAGATCACAGTCGCTACTTACCAAATTAGGGTGTAGAACATGTGTTTATGGACTGTGTTTTGCCAGTTGACTATGGTCCAAAGTCCCTAAGTCCAGAAACTCATTCCCCTAAGCTTGGTAATGTCTTAAGAAGTTTTGGTGATTTTTCCCAGTATGTGCCACCATATTCATGGATATGTTAACAGCATAGGTAAATACCCATACACAAATATTCTCTCTCAAGCCTTTATATATTTGTGTGTATATTTCGACTCTCCCTCTCACACCTGTGCAGCCTTATGTGTCTACTCATATGTCTTCCTATAGATCACTGGTATTGCAGGTTTGTGCATATAACAGCATTTACTTCTTTTAACTCTAAGCAAGATTAGTTTTGTGTGACTAAATATTTTTATTTTTTATCATAAACAATAGCAAACATTTATTGTGTATTTGACTAGGTCCTAGTTACCCTAAATATACAGTCATTGTCCTGTTTGTACCTCCCTACCCCAGAAGCCTCCAATCTACCTGGGAAATAGGAATGTGTAAAGATGAATTATAGTACAAGGTAGTAGCTAAGTATGTGGTCAAATGCTCTATTAGTTCTCCAGATGGTGACTGCCTCAGGGATTTCAGAAATTATGATGTACTTTGTCAAGAACTTGAATTACATTTTGATTAATGTTCGGTGGGAAAAGTAAGTTATAGATGAAAGTATGACCCCAAAATAAATAAATAAAGTGTAGGGTTGTTGTTCATAGCTGTCAAGTCAGCACAGTTGCATTTCAAACCTCTACAGCAGAGGGAAAAGTTGCCTGGCCTTCCTTCCATCTTCACCATCATTTGTATCCTAGTCTATTGGAATGTGAATGATGTGAGCAAAGGATCATAAGTAAGCCAGCTTGATTGAGGGAAAGGACATGGAACCACACTGTAGAGGTCTTTGAGTGTTACATATCAAGGAGTTTGGACTTCATCAGTAGGTTCTCAGGCCTTTGCTTTTTTGTGTACAGAAGTGTGCTGTATTACATGGTAGGAAAGGTACTCCAGAATTGGTACTCAATCCTGATTGTACATTAGAATCACATTAGAATCAACAAAGTATTGAACCTGGAGTCCTACTCAAACCAAACAAATTTGAATCTATAATGATATTTTGTTTTGGAGCCCTGTCTCTGGTAATTCTGTCAGCCCAGGATGAAAACTACTGGAGTAGAGATAAAAGATCATTGGTGATAACTTAGGTGACTGTTGATATAATTTACTTTGGTGTAAAGTGCCAGATTATGTGTGATAGTATTTATATGTGTGTATCTGTGTCTGTGTGTGTAGTGGTTACGAATCAGGCTATGAACCTCAAGGTCAGCAGTTTGAAACTACCAGCTGTTCCATGGGAGAAAGATACTCCCGTAAAGATTTATAGCCTTGGAAACCCTGTCCAGGGTCGCTATGAGTTGGAACTGACTCCAT